ATCTCCCTCTCCCTTAACGAGATACGAACCAACTGCCAGCATCTTGCCAGGAGCACTTTAAATGGCAAACAAATGTGTTCAGTCTGTGCAGAGAATTCAGGTTAGAGGTGCTGGGACAGCCAGGCTGGAGCCTGGGGAGGGAACATCTGCACAGCAGCACTTCAGCCTTCCTCAGCTCAGCCAGCTCAGAGCACACAGCAGTCTGAAGTGAATGAGATCAGTCTCTGCCATCCCAGGGTGAACCCCAAATATCTGAGGCTTCTGACAGATCACAGAAATCAAAGCAGCAGCTCTGGTGCTGCCTGGGCTGTGCAGAGCCTTTGAGAGGCTCCAGTTGATGCTGATGGAGTTTGTTAGAGCCATTTCCTCCTCAAGGGTTGAATTTTTCAGAGCAGCTTCTCCTCCCTGCCACACACACGTTCGAAGCTTAGAGCTAAGAGCCCCGGGGCTTTTCTCCAAGATTTGTTAAGGAATAAATGATCCAGATGCCATCAGTCATTCCGGGCTTTACAGCAGAGATTTCTCTTTTCTGCAGAGAGAGATAAGAGACTTATTTGTGGACAGTTAATAAAAGAATGTGATGAAATAATTAATTACATTGTTGCTCTACAGCCTCGTTCTTGTAAACTAAGAGAAGTGGAGGATGCAGGGACAGAAAGCTCAGGTAAAATGTTTCTCGAGTTCTCAGCTCAACCCCCAGTTTTTATCTTTGCTTCTTAATGGAGGAGTCCTCAAGGGACAGAACGTAACAGCCAGCGGCTCTTAGGAGGTGACAAACAAACCCCACTCAAACTAATGCTGCAAAGCATCGAGAATCTTACCCCATTTCATGTCTGGGTCACTTGTTCTGGTGGCTGGCCAAACCTGAGGTCATTTTGTTTCATCTCCAGCTCCTCTGGAAAGGCTTTTTGGGAGGGTGCAGGAAGCCTTGCAGAGGCAGGGCCATCCTCAGAAACGCTGCTGTCCCTGAGCTGTCCCTTTGCAGCCTGGGGACAGCAGGGGGAGGCTGCACATAGAGCTCACACTGAGCCTTTGTGCCTGCTCTGTTACCTGATTTCTTGAGAACAACCCAGGCAGGGCAAAACCATCCCTGAATTAATCCGAGTTTCATGGGCATAAACACTGGCTGTGAGTAACCTCAGCCTGTCTGCAGGAGGAGGACAACTTTATTTGGAAATTCGAGTTGAAAAGAGATTTAGTCATTCTGCTTGATTTGGACTGGATTTAGGCATAATGAGGGCAAAAATGGTGCCAGTTTTGCTGTCTTTGCAGTGCCAAGCTGGAAACTGCTTTCCTGTTTCAGCAGAAAGTTTGGTATTGGCAAGGACAGAGCAGAGGCTGAGCTGTCCGTGCTTGGCTCCCTGGAATAAAACTGCAGGGCTGCAGAAGAAAGGGTTCATGATTTCATTCTTCTCACTGGCCTAAGAATTTTTTTTTTTTTTTGTAGTTTTCACTGTGCCTTGTCTGGTAGCCTCTTGCATTATAGCAGATGTGTTTTGGTTTTGGAATTGACACTTTCAGTCTTTCCTTGGGACTGCACCTAATCCTACCACATCTGACCCTGACCTGGGTGAAATCCCACCTCTTCTTTTATCCCAAACTCTGCAAGCCAGCTGCTGATATTGCTGGTTGAAGAGTTCAAAAGGTACCATGAGAAAGCTTGAATTATTGATGCCACTTTCCTTCCATATACGTGTAATTATCTGCCCTTGGGGCACAGCCCAGCCAGAATCCCTGTCAGATTCCACAGCTGGGCAGGCTTGCAAGAGCTCTGGAACAGACCCTGGGCTGCATGGAAACAAGGCATGGGACAGGGAATATGTTTACACTGCATGGATGTGACCTGTGATCCAGGGATGGGGCAGCTCTCTGCAATCAGTGTAGGTATGTTACAAAAAATTACTGTGCAGAGTGATAAAAGAAAGGGTTTGAGCAATTTGCACAGTGAATGAAAATAGAAATTTAAGAATTAAGTTCCAGGCAGGTTCCTTTAATATTAATGATTGTACTTTGCTCTGTATGAGCTGGGAGCATCCTCTGTCTCAGGGAAGACAGACAATTCTCTATTGGTCTCAAAATAGCAGAGTGAGCTTTCTGCTCTTCTTTTTATCTGGAGGTTCATGCTGTGATTCTTGACAGCACTGAGGATCTCCTCTCTCTGATGTGAGTTATTCTAATTTCATCTAAAAAGGGAGAATTACATGGAATTGTTCTTTTTCCTGTAATGATTTAGGTGAAGTTGGTGTGGTGAGGGGAGCTGAAAATCTGGTGAGCAGCATCCTTCACCTGTGCAGTGTGTCCAGCAGGCAGATGGTCCAGGGCAGTTAATCAGAGCAGGTCTGATGTCAAAGGAATTGTTTATATAAACAGTGATTCATCTTCCCATTCCCAGTAATAACAGTGGTGTTACAAACCAATCTGCTCTAAAACCCTGTCTCTGAAGAATTGTGAACTCCAGTTTTTCACTTTCTAACTCAGATTCAGTCTGGGGTCCTGTCTTTACTGTGACTCAAACCCAACTCCTGTGTCTAAGCTCCCTACAAATGTGGGCAGTGTCCCTCACCTTCCTCATCCAAGAATTTCAGCATTTTTGTTTTGTGGAAGGCTTTAGCTCTGCAGACACATGACTATCCAGCGACAGCACATAAAAGCAGACTTTTATTTATTATTTTCTCCTGCATTTGGCACTGTAGAGAAGCTGAATCAACTTTAAACCCCCAGGAGGGCAGAATATTAACAACTATTCTGTACTGAGGATTTAGGGTCTAATTCAGCTGCCATTAATCTCAGTAACAAAAGTCTTGTTGCAGGATTTAGAGATCTAGGCCAGGAGTGTTGGGGTATTAAGTGTGGAGGGGGGGCTGAAATGAGGTGACCAGACACCTACGTGTGACAGTCCTGTTCAAAGAGAGGGAGGGGAGAGGATTGGTGTTAGGAGATGAACTCTGCACTGTGCAGAACAAAAAAAACTAATTTAGAGGGAACCTAAGGACATATTTTTGGGGAACCCTTAATCGTGTGTAGCTGCTTTCAGGGCAGCAGCTTTTTTGCTTCAGTGTCAGAGTTACAGCTGGGGGAAAGGGAGATGCTGTTTTTCCCCTTTGCAGATTGTTCTGTGGTGCAGAACAGCACAAAATAGGTGGCAGAGAAAAGGAACCAACATTTACAATAAAGCCCTGTGCTTTACACATACCAAATGTGCTTTTCTTAGAGCATCATCCTTCCTGAGCTGTGGAAATCTCAAATGTGGTTTTGCTGCCCTCCTTGGAGTGACTGGGGTGAGACATTCAGTGGTTTCTTACAGAGTTGCTCCCAGAGTGCTGGAATGTACTTTTTAATGGCCTTTTTTCAAAATTTATTTTAATTACTTGGACAGGTTTCAGTCTGCAACCAGGTCATAAGATATTATGGAGAGTGGCTGGATTTCCATCTTTCTTGAGGTACTAAGCACTAAAAATTTTCATTCCTTGTCAGATTTTATAGCAGCTGTAAATGTTTAAAGCTTTTAAAGCTTGCTGAATTGCAATCTTGACTGTGTGCTTTCCCCCATCCCCTTCCCTGGGGCTCCTGTGGATGGAAGTTCCAGGAAACTTTGGCCAAAACTCTTTTGGGCTTGTAGCCTGTGTGCAGACATTGCACCCACAGCCACTGGGGTGCAGGGTCAGAGTGTCAGACAGGTAAATATATTGCCAGCATCCCATAATAGTCTAACAAGTGGCTAGAGGCTTCCAGATACTGGATTTCGACCTTTAAATAAGTTAAGGCTGGGTGGAGTTAGGAGGAATCAGTAACAAAATCTTGACTGCTCCATCCTCTGTTAGCCACTGACAGAATTTGTAAATCTGTGATGGCTGAAAGTTTCCCTTCTGCCTGTGGAGAATCCACAGAATTGGCTGAAAAAACAAAATGAAAGAAAAAGGAGAAAATGGAGAGAAGAGGACAAAATATATCATGGAATTTCCCTGTCCCGTGTGCTGGTTTGTTCCCTGCTCATCACTGGGTAATGGAATTTCCAAGATAGTCCCAAATAGCCCCCAAAAGAGCATTTTAATCTTTTTCCTTTGGGAAGATGTTGCAGACTGATGGGTTTCCTTGCTGTAAGATTTTCCCTCCGTCCCATTCTCCACATCCACTCACCTTCTGCACCACCTATTTTGTGCTGTTCTGCACCACAGAACAATCTGCAACGGGGAAAAACAACATCTCCCTTTCCTCCAAGTCTCCCTTTCCCTGATCCATCATTTCCTTTCAGTTGTGCTCTTACTGTTTTGTGGTTTGGAGCCTTTCCTTGCAGTGTTTGGTGTCGGGGACCCAAACCCAGGCTCTGCCATCAGCACTTCATTCACTCACAGGGGCCCCAGGGTCTGAAGAAGCAAGAGGTTGATTCATAAAATAAAGGGTCTGGACAGCTGGAAAGGATAGAAATGATATTTTACATCAGCCTGAAAGATCAGGACCAATCCTTTGGGCACTTTTGCACCCTTTATTCCCTGCATTTGATTAGAGGAAAGATAAAAGATAAACAGATTAACACCTGGGATACTGAACATTTCCCACACTGCCAGGGAGTGACAGGGGCAGTTGAGTGGAGATGTTGTGACACACTGGAGTAGTGTTAGCTTGTGACATTTATTTCACATAGATCATTAGATCTGTTCCTCTCTTCCTCTGCACAAAAAAAAGACACTGGAGAAACAGAAAATGAAATAAAATAATCGTTCTGTCTTGAACTCCAGTGTGTCCAAACCTTTGTCAGCTGTAGAAAATCGTGGACACGTGGACTCATGATGGGATTCTTGGTGTGTCCTGTGCACGCCCAGGAGTTGGACTTGGATGATCCTGATGGGTCCCTTCCAGGTCATCATATTCTATGATGGGATGATTCTAAAAAAAAGAAGAAAATCAGAGTGATTTGTGACAAAATAAGCCAGAAATTAACCTGGAACTGCACGGGCACTGCACGGGCAAAGCTCTGCAAACATTTATTTTAGAAATGAGGCAAATTAGAGCAGAAATCAGGGACCATCTGCCTTCCCTTTGTAGCTTATTTCACACAAAATGCACAATGTTTCCTTTCACAGGTGAGTCGAGATAAGCCCTCACATACTCCTGAACACCGAGGAAATGCCTCCTTCCCGATCCAGGGCTCGGCTGACAAAGGCTGGAAAAGAGAAGGTGCTGAACTGTGAGAAAAACTCTGCAGGAGACTCCAAGACCCACTGTGGGAAGCAGAGGGAAGGTAAGAGCAGAGGAGAAGTGAAGGACAAAGAGTCACTGCCTGGACAAGGTGACAGCCTTGGAGAAGAGACATTAAAAATCTCAGGGCTGGGGAGGGCTCAGGAAAGCAAAGAAAATGAACACAAGAAGTTATTCCGGAGAAAAAGAGGCTGCAGGAGAAATGATAAAAGTGAATCTGGTTTGGGGAGAAAACACAGAGTGTCCAGGATGGAGGAGAAAAAAGGAAAAGTCTGCAAGAAATGGGAAATGACATCAGGGCAGGAGAGTGAGGACAGCAGTGACAAAGAGGGAAAAACCATCACAAACAGAAAGAAACAGAGTTTTAAAAAGAGGTGTGGAAAGAGACTTGGTGTTCGTGAGACAGGCACTGAGCTGGGGGCTGTAAAGGTGACCACAGTGCAAAGTGCTGAAGGTTCTTTTCAGAAACAGAACCCCAGGGGAAGGCACAGAGGGAATCAGGACTTCAAGGAGGTTTCTGAGCAGAAATCAAGTTCTCAATCCCAAGGCAGCACAGCACAGGAAAAAGGTGAGAGGACTAGGAAAAAGCAAGTTGAACATCTCACCAGGATTGTCATCACTGAAAGTGAGGATGAAAATATTCTGGAAACCTCAGGTAACTCCTGCTCTGACTCCAGCAGTGAAAGCCATGGAAGCCACAAAACAGGCACAAAGGAGGCTGTGATGGGCAGTGGGGAGAAGAGCAGCTCTTCAGAGGAGGATGGCAGCAGTGAGAAAGAATCTGTGCTCCAAGATCCTCCTGTGAGTGAAGGAGAAGGCTACAAGGAACTGGTTTATGAAAACAAGGAAGCATCTGTTGAACCTGAAAAGGAGCAGGGGACCACAGGTGGAAAAATGGAACCTGAGGCTGAAGGCACTGGATTTGCAGGACTGGAAGCAGAGGAGAAGATGAGGAAGCCAGACAAGATGCTGAGACAACCAGAATGTGCTCCAGCTGAGAGCAGTGAGGCAGATGATCAGTTAAGCACTTCAGGACTCCAAGTTAAGAGTGTTAAGAACAGGGAAAAAATTGAAGTAGACAAGGAAAAGATATTAGAAAATGACAGAGTTAAAGGTATGTCAAAAGATGGACACGTGAATTCTGACAGCAGTGGGGAGAGCAGCACTGCAGGGAGCATTGATGAAGTAAAAGAAAACAAACCAGAACCACTCCCAACTGCTGTGAAAGCAAAACTCCACGTTCACCTTAGCAAATATGAGCAGGAAGAGAAGGTGAATGATGAAGGCATAGAGTTGGAAGGTGTCTCTTTGCTCTCCAAGCAGCAGAGGACATTGAAGGAGAAAACTGGGAAGTGTGAGATCCCAGAACAAGGTGAAGAGGCTGGACACAGACAGAGGGACAATTCAGAATGCAGCAGGCAGGACCTACCAGCACTGATGCTTACAAAGAAATGTTCTTCTCAATCCCAAATCCCCCTCAGTCTGGAAAAACAGCACCAAAGTGCTGAGACCAAACTATCAGCAAGGCAGAAACCAAATCCTGCCCAGATGGCTTTGGGAACCAGCTCAGACCTGGACAATGTTGAAAACATCTGCTCAAAACCCATGATTCTAGAAACTCCCAGTAAACAAAAAGAACCCAACACAGCCCAGAGTTTTGGAGAGAAAAGATTAAATACATCAAGCTGCTCCACAATTGCAAAAAAATCGTCTGATAAGCAGCTCCTTGGAAAGACAAAGAAAGTTGGAAAAGTTATTGGAAAAGTTAAACAGAGTTCAGGCCAGTCTATAAAGGCAAAAAAAGAGAAAGCAAAAGAAGTAATTGCAGAGGCACCTTCTGAAGCAGAACCTGTGCACAGTGGGGAAGGATCCAAGCACTTGCACACCCGTTCTGCTTTTAGAAAAGTCACCAGCTGGCTTGGCCAAAAACCTGCCAAGAAAACAAGGCTGAAAGCTCGACTGCTGAGTGTGGCACGTGCAATTGGTGTCTCCAGATGGCTCTTGAAGAAATTTGGGAAGAAGAAGAGGAGCAGCAAACCTTTTGGATTCAGAAGCAGAATGGCAATCCGGATTCTGAGCACTGCTGGGTGGGTGGGTCGGTCTGGCAAAGCCTTCCCTGGTGCAGCTGGACAGCTGGACAGGGCTGAGCTGAGGCACAAAGAATCTTCTGCTTCCTTAGTGGGGGGGAAAGGTGGTCCTGAAATGGTAGAGGAAGTGGAACACATTGATTTTCCTCCTGGTGATTCCTCTCTTCATAGAACCAGCTCCTTTCCATGCCTGGGTGAGAACAGTGCTACTGATGCCAAGTTTGCTGTGGTGTTCCCCAGAGTCCACTGCTTGGTGAAGGCTCGGAACTCCTTGTCCAGGGGCTCTGGCAATGCTTATTCCCTACAGAAACTGAAATCTCCATCAGAGAGAAAATCTGTCACTCCTGTGCAACGAGGTTCCAGATTCCAGTGTGACCTTCCCAGATCTCTGATGGATCCAAGCCAGAGAAACAGTGAGCAGGGCTTCCCCCCACGTGGAGAAGAGCCAGTTCCTCCATCAGATTATTGCAGTGAGGGAGATGCCAAGGAGGGTTCAGGTGTTCTCCAGACTGCAGGATCCATGGTCACTCCTGCTGTGCACTGGTCCCAGCAGCAGGGCCAGGGATGTGACCCTGCAGCGTGGCTGAGCTCCCAGCTGCTGCTGCCACGGGCAACCATGGAGAACCTGAGCAAATGGGCCATGTCCAGGGACCCCCAGCTGGCCAGCAGCCGTGTGAGGGTCTGCAAGGACCAGTGGGAGGCAGAAGATGTTGCTGATGATGTGCTGGAGATGGAGTTCATGCAGAAACAGGTACAGGTGTTGGAATGGAACACAGTACTGGAATGGAACTGAACTTCCCCTGATTTTCAGTCATGTGTCTGTGCATTTCAGGTGTACGTGTGTGAAGAGCACTGTGCAGAAATTGAGGAGATTGAAGATCTAACCAGACTGGAGTAGGTGTCCTCAGTGCCTGCAGCTCATTCAGGTCACAGGGGCTTGCTTGTTATCCTGCAAAGGTGGCTCAACAACAGAAAACACATTGTAAATCCTTAGCTAGGTAGGAGAAAATAAAATTTTTCCTCCATGGGAGAAAATAGAATTGATTGGATGCATATCATAGCTGAGTAACTGATGCTCTGCTGAAAAGCTATGTGAAAGACTGAATTTTAGTAGTTAATGTATGGACCTACAGTGAACCACTGGGGAGGAGCAGAGGTGCAGAGGGAACTCCTGACTGTATTTAGAGTGTTTCCCCAGGCTCTGCTGCACAGAGGGCACATTGAACCTCTGCAGTCACACCCCAGAGCCAGCAGCTCAGCCTGGTTAACAGACTGCAGTACAGCTGCATCCCTGTCTCTCCTGTTAGAACCCGAAATGGGTTCTAAAAAAAAACCCAAAATACTTAATGGGTAGGGGAAATTAAGTTTAGAGGCTGATATGATTTCTGTGATGTAGCAGAAGGACAGAATTGGGAATTTAACACATTTGTTATTGTGTGAAGTGAGTGGTAAGAAAGGACAGCTTGCAGGATGAGAAGCACATTTCTGTTCTTTGCCTACTCACACTGGCATCTGTGGCTTTGGTGACTCCTGTTGCCTTCAGCTGTGAAAGATTCAGGCTCTACATCTTTAAGAGCTGCTAAAGCCTTGGTTCAGTGCTGTTGTTGAAAGATGAGCCCCTGACACTGCCCCTCACACATCCTCCCCTCCTGCCATCCTGCTGAGATAAACACCTGTAAAGGCTCTGCAGGAGCTGTGATCACACAGAGGAAATTCTGGGCTTTGAATGCTCCATTCTCTGATGTGTTTAATCCTGGAGATGTTGGAACCACACGAAGGCAGTAAAGAGTTCCAGTCCCAGCTCCCCACAAAATCTGTGATTGCCACATGGGCCATTCACTTAAGAGTTGGACTCCACAATCCCTGTGGGTCCCTTCCAACTCTGAATATTCTGTGATCCTTGGGAGGGCAGGAAGGTTAATATTTGATATTAACACATGCAAGTGAAGATTGTGGCTGATGAGTCCTTTCCTCTGTTTGTAGGGAAGTCTCTGAGAGCTCAGTCCTGCTGTGCCTGAAGAAGAGGTTCCATCACAATCTCATTTATGTATGGGCAGTGATGTTTGGTTTTCTTCACTCTGAACAGTGAGCTTTAAGGGAAAATAATTTATATTATGCCATCAAGCTTTAACAATGCACCAAGTATCTCACTCATTACTAGGAACAATGATAAAGAGTATACTCACACAACTTTTGCTCAGAAATCAGGTAGCATGAAATATTTGGGGTAAAATCTGAAAGTTCCAGAGTTTCTCTGTACTTTTGGTACATGTGAGCATACTTGGGCTCCTTTTTAGCCTCACTGCTCCTAGAGATAATCTCCTATTTTAGCAGAGAAGTTTTGAATTAAAAATTGTGAATCTTGACAAGAAACCTCAGAGTTTCTGCAAACATTTCACAGTGTTGCAGTCCAGATCTGGTTGTGGATGATTAATTGTTCTCTTTTCCATTTACTGGCTCAAGTATTCAAACCTGTGCCTGTAATTTTATGTGGAGCTTGGAAAATAGATAGTGGCCAGAGAAGATGACCACAGACCAGTGAGTGCTCACTTATCCCCAATTATTAATGACAGAGCTTTGAAAATGACCACTGAAAAGCTGTGTCCTTGATAGTTTGGCAGTATAGTCAGAATAAATCATATTCCTTTAAAGGGAATTTGTGCATTTGTATTAATGTATGCATTCAGCTGCATTCCTCATTCAGAAATTTCTAAGAAGCCATCAGCTTTTCCCCCCCTTTCTTATTTTTGTCCTAGACTTATATTGGGCAAATTTTGATTTCTGTGAATCCTTTCAAAGACCTCAGTATCTACTCTGAAGATGTGGCTACCAAGTATCAGCAAGGGACTCTCTCAAAGAATGCCCCGTATGTTTTTCTTTCTCAAATAACTTTCTAAACCCTGTCCTGTTTGTGCTCCAGAAAGTATTCAATTTTCCTCCAGTTTTCTGGTAGAGCTGGGTGAATGCTACAGGAAGTGAACAGCCCATTTGCCAAAGCTGTAGTTACTTGGGTCTATAATTCTGTAATTCTACAGAGATAAAATTCATCCCTGGAAATGTCCAAGGCCAGGCTGGACAGAGCTTGGGAAAAACCACGAAAAACCAGGAAAAAGTTGGGAAAACCAGGTCTAGTGGAAGAGAAATGGGATGGTCTTTAAGGTCCCTCCATCCCAACCCATCCTGTGATTTTTAAGTCAAGTTTCTTTGATCAATACACTGGCTCATCTCTAACGTAGATCCCTGATGAGGAACCTTTTGGTGCTGCACTTGTGGAAATGTGGGCTCAGCTAAGGAGGGTTTGTCTCTGTCCATGCAGACACATCTTTGCCATAGCAGAGATGGCTTACAGCCTGTCCCAGTCCTCAGGGCAGCAGCAGTGTGTCGTCATCAGGTAGGAATTGAAAGGCTTGGCTCGAAGCCCTTTCATTTCTTTATGTAAAAGTTTTATTTCTGTATGTAAAAGTTCCACTTTTGTGTTTCACTGCCTGTAAGTTGATCCCTCTGGCTCTTATGTGAGGGCTGCCTGTGGAGAACCTGAATAAAGTGGATTTTTATTTCACTCTGTGCAAATACAGTTTGAATTTAGTTTCACTTCAGAGGAGTGGGAGAGGAGTCTGATATTCCCCAGTGGAATTGGGCCCATTTTGCCAGGTTGTCTCAGTGTTTCAAGCAATGGGTGATAGATCTTCAGATAAATCAGCACAGCCCCTCTGATTTTCTATAGCAGGGCTCTGATGTGCCCAGATCAGGTTCCTCTGTTCTGATGCCAACTTCTCCACCTCTTGCTCCTGCAGTGGGCACAGTGGATCAGGTAAAACTGAAGCTGCCAGAGCCATTGTGCAATACCTGACCATGCTGCACCAGGGACCTGGCAGCCACAGGATCAGACAGGTAACAGGCAAGGGAGCTTGGCTGGAGGCCCTGAGGGATGGGCAGGGAAAAGAAGCCAAAGAGGGGAGAGAGGCCATGGTGCTGATTTATTGCTTTGGCTGGAATAGGGAGGGTTTGTGCTCCAAGGTGAAGCTCCCATAAAGGCTGCAGGACAGCTGGTGTGTTTGTCGTTCTGTATTTTAACACCTGGGAGCTCTGATGCTGTGCAAAGTGCTGTATCTGTGTGAGCAGAGAGCTTTTAGCAGAGTCGAGGAGGTGAATCTGAACAAACACAGAGCAGAGGTAAAGTGAAAGATTATAGCAGTGAGGGTAAAGAGCTCACAGAGGAACTCATCATTGGCTAGACATAATGATACCAGGATACATTTAAAAATACCTTTTACCCATGTGAGAATTATATCAGCGAAGTCCCATTTGTTTTTTTTAATCTTTTCAAACTGACAGGTACATAAATCCCTTTTGATTTAAAAACCTGTGATTGCTACTGAAGAGTTCCCTCCCTCTTTTCTTCACAGCCCTGCAGTGTCCTACCCATCCTGGAGAGTTTTGGAAATGCCAGAACCATCCTCAATGACAACTCGAGCCGTTTTGGAAAGCTGCTGAATGTCCACCTTCGACAGTGAGTTGAAGAATCTCCTCGGGTGCCTCCAGCTGCCAGGGGGTGTTTGGGTGAGAGCAGGGGGAGCAGTGCTGAGAGCTCACACAATAACCCTCCCTCCCCTTCACTCTTCTTTACCATCAGGGTAGGAAGAGGGTGAGTTTGCACCCCTATTTTGCTTTTTTTTTGGTGTTTCCTCCGAAAAGGAACAGATCTTAGTTCTCCAATGAGTGTTAAATTAAGAACATGAGAATGGCTGAACTGGTTTATACCAAGGAGCCATCTGATCCCCTGCTGTGTCCTCAGCACTGACCTCAAGCACTGCCTGAGGCAAGAACAGCCCAAATACACTCAGTGCTTTCCCCCTGGAGCTCTTTTACATTTGCAGCAGCTCAGGAGTCTTCCCCAATCTCCTGAGGTTTCCCAGTTTCCTCTTGGACTCATCCAAACTTGATGCCTCTTCAACAACTTTCAACAAGTGTTCCACAGGTCTAACCAGTTCTGTGAAAAACACCTTTCTGATTTGAGCCTGCCTCCTTTCCAACTTCTCGGTTTGGTTGGTTTGTTTGGGGATTTTTTTCTCACTGTTTCCAAGCTCTGAGCTGATTCTTCCATGGAACTGTCTATCAAACCCCTCAGGTCTCAGTCCTAAGGAGGAGCAGTGGTTAAATTGGAGCCTGCCAGGTTATATGTGAAGCTGGGTCTGGACCCATCACTTTACATTTATCTACAGTGGGTTCCATGTGCCATTTCCTTGCTCCCTCACTCTGCACTGTGAGGTCTGTCTGCATTTATTCACAGCTGCCCTTCATCCTCACTACCCTGGGTAATTTCATACAAGCAGGAAGCTTTGTCCCATTGCTGTTCAGTTCCTCTTCTAGGTCACTCATCAAACCCTCAGCTGCACTCCCAGCTCAGGCACAGACACTTTGTGGGACTCTGATGGTTGTTTCAGAGTGTTAAGAGAATTCACCTTTATCCCTACCCACGGTAGGACTTTCCTTTTTATTCTGTGCTTGCTTGGTTTCCCAAGACCCACAGTTTTGTCAAAATATTTTGGAAATTCATGTAACTGATGCCCCTAAGATCATTCTTATCTGCAGAGCCACAAGTCTGCAGAAAACCTGTCCCCAGCTTCTGACAGGCTCTGTTGTCTCGTGCTCAGTGGCATCGTGGTGGGAACATCCATCTCCCAGTACCTGCTGGAGAAGTCTCGTGTGGTGTTCCAGGTGAGGACCAGTGTCCCCCAACTCCCTTATTAACATTTAATCTTAAATTTACTGTTAAATAACAGGGCTGGGAATTAGCCTGAGAATTGCTTTTCATTTCTTCTACTGGCAAGAACTATGTCCCCTCCATGCAGCACAGGGTGATCACTTCTTTTATTTGAATAAAATAGGAAGTTTCTGCCTCAAACAGAATTAAGCTATTTATTAGGGATAATTGAAAGTTGAATCTTCCCTCAATTAGTTTTTCTTAATGTCTGGAGTGTGGAAATGGTCAAATATTAGAGCTGTGTGAAAAGGACTTCTCTCAGATGGAATATTCTTAAGTTGTCAGTGGGAAACCATGGAAACCTTTCCAATTAAGTGGTTCTGACTTTGTCCTGCTGACCCCAGAGTCTGTGTCCTGCTCTCTGAGTGTGTTCTGGAAGATTTTGGAGCCGCATATGGAAAAATTCCATGAATGTGTCCCTTCAGGCCCATGGTGAGAGGAACTACCATGTGTTTTACGAGCTGCTGGCAGGGCTGCCCGTGGAGCAGAAAGAGGAGATGTACCTGCAGGAGGCTGAGTCCTACTTCTACCTGAACCAGGTGAGTGAGCTGAGGGTGCTGTGCAGCAGCTGGCACACAGAGATGGCCCAGGCATCTTTTCTGTTTGGTTACAGAAACACCAAATCACTTTACTCCCCTGCAAAGCACTATGCTAAAATCAGCTTTGCTCCTTCTCATACTCTGCTCCTTCTCATGCCTCATCTAAGAATCAACATCTTTGTCTCTTTTGTGATCATTTTCCCACCTTCCAGGCCCCTTCTGCTCTGAAAGGATGGACTTTAAGGAGGAGTCCTTGTGTAGACTCATGGCTCCATCGTGTGGTGTAAAACCCCTTTTCTTATTGCCTTTCCTTGCATTTGTAATTTATTGTGGGACTGCTAAAAGCAGAGAAGATTTCTTTCTATCTTCTGCAAAACACTTGCTTTATTGACTGAGTCAATGGGTGCAGATTTTAAAACACTGAAATATACTGCTGATTGCAATTATTTAAATTGAGTTTGTTTGTCAGACTTAAGCCACAATCTTGGAACACTTTTTTTCTTTTTCTCTTTTTTTTAGGGGGGGTGTGGGTTTTATTTTGTTTGAATTTTTTAAAGATTGTTTTCCATAATCAAGGAGGTCACAACAATAGCGAGAGATTTTTCCTATTTCAGCGTGAGTCAGCTTTCCCAGGTGGCAAATTCAAATTCTTCGCAGCAGCTGCGGTCAGGAGGAATCCTCGATGGTGATTGCGATCACCTCACCCCCAGGCGAGGAATTGACAACTGCCATTAATGACTCAAGGATGGAGGGCAATTAAGAGCCCAGCCCTTAATGGGTGATTAATGGCTCCTGGCTGGCAAAGCATTGTAAAGCAAAGCCTTCAAGGTGATAATTAGCAGGAATATCCCAGCCTGCTGCAGAGAAGGAAAGGGGGAAAAAAAAAATCAGATTAGGCACAAAAGAGTTAGCAGAGATTGACAAAATCTATTGTGGATCTTGGCAAGAAGAAGCCCAAGGGATGCCTGGATCTCATCCTTGTGTCACCAAAATCTGCTGGGAGCTATGGTGAAAGAATCCCCCTGAACACAAACAGGTTCTGCAGAAGCCCTGCCCCGGGATTGCTGTGACCTTTCGGGTCACAGGACATTAGGAGTGTCCTCCTGTAGGGAACACAAGCAGCAGAGCAGTGACAGCCCATGATGTGGTGAAGCTCCATGGCCGAGGCTTTAACCCTGGGTGCACAACCCTGCCATCATTTACCTGGGACTCCATTCAGGCTCCATCTCTCTCAAATTCCACCCCAGCAGGGGATCCTGGGGAGCTTGTGCTGGAATTCCAGCAGAAACTTGGCGGTGCGGGTAAGGGAGATTTAATCTCAAAACTCCAGAGAGTGAAGAGATTGGCCCTTTACAAATGCTGAGTCTCCACTACTGGTGTCTTTCATCTCTTCAGATTCCTCCAGTCCTTTAAACATTGAACTCGTTCTCTGAAGATTCCTGATGGTGGCTTAACCCCAGCCTGAGGCTAGAGGGGCTGACCACGATTATCTGTCCCTTTTGTCTCAGGGCAGAGCATGTGATGTCCTGGGCAAGGAGGACAGTCGGGATTTTCTGGTCTTGGTGCGAGCTCTGGAGGGAATCAGCCTCTCCGAAGATCAGCTGAGCTGCACCTGGGCTGTCCTGGCTGCTGTGCTGCAGCTGGGGAACATCTGCTTTACCTCCTGTGAGGTACAGTAACCCCAACAGCTTGGGAACAGGATACTTATGCTGAATATTGCTGTCTCATGCGGTGGGACCGAGGACACGATTCCCGAGAGAGGATGACATCCTTTGAAGACCTTTCTGTCCTTTCAGCGTGGGGCTCTGGACTGGTCTAGGCAGGGACAGAAGAGGGGAGGCAACCAAAGGTCATTAGAGCTTGGGTGGCTTTTTAAGGAGCCAAAATGAACCTGGTGTTCTGCCCAGGCTGTGGCCAGCTCTGTGCAGCTGAGGTGCTGTTGAGAATATGAATCCAAATTGTATCCCATCCATTACTCCTATCTATAAGATATAGCAATATATGAATGGTAATGTGTAATAAAGAACATTTTGTTATTTAGAAAGAATCCTTTGAGCATGCAGCCATCGCCAGTGGCACTGAGATTCAGATTGTGGCCAATCTGCTGCGGGTGTCAGCAGAGGTCCTGCAGAGAGCTGTCACTCACCGTGTCACTGTGAGTACCTTTCTGGGACTTCTCATTCCTCCTGCAGCACAGAATGCCCTGCTGCTCTAAACTTAGAAGGTTCAAAATCTGGGAGGTAACAGCAGGAATAAAATGGTTGTGTCAAGAAAATTAATTCACAAACACCAGAGGTTTATGTCCAAAAAAGAGACAGAGGTGTCCTTTTTTTGCTTTATTCAAATAAAGGGAGAGGCCCTGGGGCATTCCCCTGGGAACCCTCAAATTTTTGGAGGACGCAGCCTCCTTTTTATCCCAATTTCCCAGCTGCATTTCCCTCTCTCTTCCCCCACTGGCTGAGGTACTTGAGAGGCACAGACTTCCCAAACACCTGATACCTGAAATTCCCCTCTAATGCACAACCCTCCCTTTTCATTTTTAATTCTTATAGAATTCATGGGTTTTCCCCATTACTTCTTTCACCTTTCAATATCCAATTTTGTTTATCAGCAAACCTACAGTTCGTTTGTAAAGGCAAATATCTTTTTTCCATTCATCAATCAGTGGAATCCATCCTATTGTTTCTTTTATCTCTCAGTGCCAGTCTTATCTACCCAGCTTGTTTGCAAAGACAAACCCAACATTCCTCTCAGTTGGGATGGGCTGAACTCCTCTAAAGATGGCAGAACTCACATCTAGGAAGGCTCTTGTTCTGACAGGAGTGGCTTCAGGTTTATCATTTTGGCCAGCTGACTCCCACCTCTGCCGGCAAAATTCTGGGTTTAGTTTTCCTTTTAATATCTGGGTAAATTCTCAGCCAAAAAGAAAAAAAAAATCCATTTATTAACTGGGTGACTTCCTTGTGGATTAAAAAAAAGAAAAGAAAAAGACACAAGGTATTTTTGTGAGATAATAAGAGTAAATTCTGTCTCTTTGTGTATCCAGGTTACATCTTATGATCGGATCTTCACCCCTCTGTCTGTAGAAGGAGCCATTGATGCCAGGTGACTTCTGCTGGTGTCTGGGTGGGTGAGATGCACCCAGAGGTGCTGGCTGGGCAGTAACTGGTTCTTCTCCCCTCTCCCACTCAGGGACTCCATTGCCAAGGCTCTGTACTCCCTGCTCTTCGAGTGGCTGCTGCTGAGGATCAATGAGTGGTTGGCTCCCTGGGAGTCTGACTGTGCCGTGGGCATTGTGGATATCCATGGCTTTGAGGTTATTTTTAATGTTCTTTTGCTGTGGCCTGAGCAGTGAGGGCATGTGCTCACCAAGGCCTTGGATATTTTATTTAGGGCTCCTGTTAAAACCTGTGTGTCCCAGTGAGTGATGAAAACAATGGAACACAGAGGTGGGGCTGTGCATCCAAGAGTAGATATATTTTTCTTTATGTTCCTTCACAGCTTGTGTCACGTCTGGCTGTTGAGCCTGGTCAGTAAGCCAGGCTGAGAGCTTGCAAACCAAGACAGAAGATGGTTTGAGCTGTCAGGGTTCATTCACAGCCAGAAGCAGCAGCTCAGCACAGCTCAGCCTGTGCAGCATTCACAGCTCCCTGGGCCTTGGGAGGGATGATCCCTTTTTGTCTTTGCAGGATCTGGGAGTGAACAGCTTAGAGCAGCTCTGCATCAACTTTGCCAATGAGCACCTCCAGTGGTTCTTCAGCCAGACTGTCATTGCCCAGGAAGAGGTAAGGGGGAATTCACACCACATGAAGGCATGGACTGAGCTAAGGCATCCTCAGAGCATCCCTCTGCAGGGAACAGGAAACTGAATGGTCCTCTCAGCAATATCCATGGAATCCTAGTCCAAAGAACTGCCTGTTTAATACCTTTTATTAATTCTACTGCAAATTAAGGGAGGGAGATTTTGTCAGTACCTTGCTCCCTTTTCCAGATTTTATAAGTCAAGGTCAGAGCCCAGACCTCACTGGTACTTTTAAAGCCTCTTTGGCTCCTCTGTAGTATTTTCTGTACCACTTATGTCCTGGGGATGAAAGTGTTTTTATCAGACTTGTTGCCTTCTACAGTTCACTTCATCACTTAGCAGCCTTCCTCTGTCAAATCAGGAAAATCAGTAGTGGCTTTAGAGGAAGCCACTGTTTCATGAGACAAAATCAGACAATTCTAGGCAAGTTCCTAACAGGAATGAAACACTAACTTGCTGATAAACAACCCAAATCCCTCTGTTAATTGTCTCCATTTGTCCTTGTTTGCATGAGTGGATTTGGCCTTTAACATGCAGGAGGAATACAGCCAGGAGCAGTTAGCTTGGATTCCCATTTCCAAGATGCACAAAGAGTCGTGCCTGGATTTCCTTACTGCAAAGCCCCACGGCATCCTGTGCATCCTGGATGACCAGACATGCCTGACTCAGGTGAGCAGCTCTCAGCCTCTCATGGCATCCCTTCCAAAGGAAGCTTCCCACAATGATCCCACAAGTGTTCAATGTTTTTACCTTCAGTTTAACAGTGGCTTTGCAGCCTACTGAGTGTGCTGCAGCAGCAGGAAATCTCTTTTGCAGGCCACAGACCACACTTTCCTCCAGAAGTGTCATTACCACCATGGGAACAGCCCTTGGTACACCAAGCCCAAGCTGCCTTTGCCAGAGTTCACTGTGCAGCACTATGCTGGCCCTGTCACCTACCAGGTGAGCTGGCAGGGGCTCAGAGCAGCTGGAGAAATAACTCATCATGGGGACAAGCTGAGGGTGTCCTGATGGACCAGCTTGAAGGAATGAATACAGCCTTGAAGCATGAAGAAGGAGCATCTTTGCAGGACATAAAAAACCCAAAACAAAACCAAGAAAAATAAAAACCCGAAAAACCCCAAACCAAACAAAAAAACCCCGCAACCACCCCAAACCCTTCATCTTATCTCATACTTATTACTATATTTTAAAACTCTAAATTCCAAACCCTTTACCATGTGATGTTACATCCTTCCATTTAGACTACACACCAGTGATTTCAAATTTATCACCTAAATCTGGAAGCCTTCTTCAAGGCCTCAATTCAAAAGGAGTGCTCTTTTGAGGGACAGTGTCAGAAAGCACAGAAAGCTCAAAACTCCCAGGCTTCAGGGTTCCAGCATCTCCCCCTTCACCAGCTTTGTGATCAAAGCTCTCCCCTTGTGGCTGCATCCCTCCAGAGCATCAGTTTATCAGAAGAGAGGAGGTTGTTGTTATTAAGAGAGCCAGCTAAGCTGCCTCTGGGCAGAAGCAAAATAGCAATTGGCCTCAGAGCCCTGGAAATGCAGGAAAGCTCTTGCTGCTGGGAGACAAAAAAAAAAAAAAAAAAAAAAAAAAAGAGAGGTGAAAGCCTGCGGGGTGATGTGAAGGAGAAGAGGAGCAATCCCTTCTCAAAGCAGAAGTCATTGTCCTCTCTACCCTGGTGGCAGCAGGAAGAACCAGCTTCATTCTCCAGGGCTTTCCCCTTGTTCCACCTCTC